GTAGATAAATGGATGGATGGATGGATGGATGGATGGATACTTATACAATACATAGGATCAAATAAATAAATATAATCATTTAAAAATTACATCCTTAGTCCCTAAACCACAATAGTACAAACGGTCCACGTAAACTTTGAATAACCGCAAAATGAGTTTACTTCGCAATCATTGGAACGCAGACAACGCTTCAAACAAGTGAAAAGAACACTGTGGATGGACAACATACAAACAGATTTATATACACTTCGACCAGATGCTATCGCATATATAGTATCAACGCAGTACTGGACACATCAGTTACGGTTATAAAACGACTACACGTTTCACAACCAGAGCGCCACAACCAAATGAAACACATTAAGAAGTACCACAACTACAGACCATAAAATACTCAGCATTTAGACAGCCCAGTTCAACCTCCTCTAAGGAACAGGATTTAGGGGGTTCGGCAAATGCCAACCCCTGCCGTAGCCACAAGTCCACCCCGGACATGAGGCATTGTATATATATAGCAATAGCGTCTATACAAGTAAAGACACCTAAACCCTACAACCCTACAACCCTACCAACCCACCTATACACACCTGCTTCCGTCGTCTATCCTCACAGACCGTGCTGCTATTGGAGCCCTTGCTCACTGAATCAAACGTATCCCTTGACGTAATTGACTCACAGTCGCGCGTATCGTCTCCTGGGTCAGAATCCAATGTGTACTGAGGCCTTTGCCACCCCTTATGTGTACCCGAGCTAACGGGCTGAGAGTACGTGCGTGTCACAGCGATGATTCCCTTCGGCTTGGGACAAATCGGCACTGCACCCGAAGCTGCACGTATGGGAGGGGCGTTGGGGTCCTCAGCTATGTCGGTGGTGTTGAAAAAGTCCGAGGACATGACCATGCGTGCGGAAGGGGGTTGCGAAGCCTACTGGGAAGGAGGGTATATGGGAATATACTGGAAAGTTGAATATTCGCTAATATAGGTACTACATTGTATGACTGATTACACAGTGTGGGCTGTACAGATAAATTGCGCAGGAGATACGTATATGGTAGAGTATTTTATGTACTAATG